TGTATCTGTGTGAGGGTGTAGGGTCCCCTGGAACTGGAGTTGTAGACAGTTCTGAGCTGCCAGGTGGGTACAGGGAATTGAACCCAGGTCCTTTGGAAGATAAGTCAATGCTCTTAACTGCTGAGCCATCTCTCCAGCCTATACATAGGTTTGTTTGTTTGTTTTTTTTTAATTAAAAGGGTTTAAACAAACAAATTAACAACAACGGAACAAATACAGGGAACTGGCACATGACTCATAGGATTCCAGTACTTGGAAGGCCGAGACAGTTTGAAATTAGCCTGGTCTATATAAGTGAGTTCCAGGACAGCCAGGACCACATATTGGGGTTCCTACAAGCAGAAAACTGATCCAAGTGAGTGAAGAAGAAACTTGGTTCAGTACGGCAGAGCTGGTGCTGATTCAAACTTCTAGAGTCTGACACCAGCTCAGTTTATTTTAGACACATTTAAGTACAGCACAATTTTGAAAAAAAAATTTCCTGGTAACAATGATCTCAATCCCATGTACACAATAAAGCTCAAGGCATGACTACACTAAACTCTTTTGCAAAGTACGTGTGACCCCTATCATGAAGATGGTCCTATGGCTGAAGCGCCCAGGATACAGGGTGGTCTCTGAGCCACCTAGCACAGAGGTCAGCAGGCTATGAAGTACATGGGACATCTCCACTAAGGATGGGTTCTGCTGACTGAGAAACAGGGCTCAAGATAAAGGTGTAGGGAGGGAGAGTCTGGGATAAATGTTCCAGGGGATTTGGGTGAGGCCTGGCCCTACAGACATCCAAGGTCACCTGGTTATTAAGTGTATTTGATCCCAGCCTTCCGTGTGGGAAACACGTGCACATCTCCGCCACTTAGGAGAGGACCCCGCACGATTAACATTCCTAGTGTTCCCAGTGCTCTACATAAGGAAACCTGCCTAAACAAAAAAGATTCCTAGGTAAAGGTGCTTGTTGCTGCTGCTTCTAACAGCCTGGGTTTGAGCCTAGCATCTGCATGGTGGAAGGAGGGAAGCAACTCCTACAAGTTGTCCTCTGACTTTCACATGTGCAGACACAGACAGATTGCAAATAAATGCCAACAAACCACCCACAACCACACGGTGGCCACAACCATCTGTAATGCCATCTGGCGCCCCTGCTGGCCTGCAGACATACATGCAGACAGAACACTGCATAATAAATAAATAAATAAAACTTTGGAAAAAAAGAATTGCTTAAAATAAATAAACAGGGCTGGAGAGATGGCTCAGTGGTTAAGAGTAGTGTCTGCCCTTCCAGGGGACCCAGGTTCAATCCCCAGCATCCACATGGCAGCTCACAACTGTCTATAACTCCAGTTCCAGGGGATCTGATACCTTCACACCAATGCACATAAAAATAAAGTTCTATTTAAAAAATAAAAATAAATAAACAAATAAATCAAGAACAAACGGGCTGGAGAAATGGTCCAGCAGGCACTGGCTGCTTCTTCCAGAGGACCTGGGTTCAGTTCCCAGCACTGACCTGGTGGCTCACAACCACGCATAACTCCAGTCCCAGCCAATCAAACACCATCTTCTGGCCTCTGTAGGCAACAGGCATATGTAAGGTGCACCTGTACACGCAAGCAAACACTCATACACATAAAAATAAATAAATCTTTAAAAATGTATCTATCATACAATGCTATCTTGACAATATAAGAACAGCTCAGGGAAGATCGTCTGATCACCAGTAAAGTTAAGGATAAGATAAAGCTTGCAGGGCTGGAGAGATGGCTCAGAGGTTAAGAGCACTGACTGCTCTTCCAGAGGTCCTGAGCTCAATTCCCAGCAACCACATGGTGGCTTACAACCATCCATTATGAGATCTGGTGCCCTCTTCTGATGTGCAGATATACATGGAAGCAGAATGTTGTTAATAAATAAATAAAATCTTAAGAAAAAAAAGATAAAGCTTGCAGAGGCAGGGGAGTTGGGGGGAGGGACTGGAAGGGGATGATGGGGAAAGGGTGCGGTTGGGATGCAAAACAAATAGAAGGAAAGAAAGATTATGCATATCTCAGCTAGGACTGGTATATTTACAAGAAAATAAGGCACTTTCAGAAAAAAAGGTAAGGCTTTGATCACCTACATCATTTGTTTACTTTTATTGTGTCTAAATAAATTTTTCTTATACTGTAATTTTTGTGTGTGTGCATGTGCATGCGTGTACATGTAAAATTACTAACCTTTGCAGACAGTATAATCACATGCATAGAAAATCTGAGAAAATAGTTGGTGGTGCAAGCCTTTAGTCCCAGCACTTGGGAGGCAGAGGTAGGGGGATCTCTGTGAGTTCAAGGCCAGCCTGGTCTACAGAGTGCGTTCCAGGACAGCTAGAGACCATGTCTTGCAGAAAGAAAAACAAACAAAACCCCCCAAAAATAAACAAAAAAAGGCTAGAAAGATAGTTCTTCCAGAGAACCTGAGTTTACGAGGGATGGCTCCCAACAAATTGTAACTCCAGCTCCAGGGGCTTCAATGCCTCTGGCCTCCATGGGCACCCACACTCACATGTACAAATCCATACACATATACATAATTAGAAATAATTTTAAAATTTCAACAAAAATATTAAGTCACTTAGGAAGAAACAAATACACAAAAATCCCAATTTAAAACACATATTTGGGGCATGTAAAATACAATAGTAACAGAGGTAATATTTTAAAAATACATGTATGAATTTTATATATGAATAATTATATATGTCTGAGCACTGTAGTGCACGCCTTTAATCCTAGTACTTGGGGGAGGCAGAGGCAGGTGGATCTCTGTGAGTCCAAGGCCAGTCTGGTCTACAGAGCGAGTTCTAGGACAGGCTTCAAAGCAATACAGAGAAATCCTGTTTGGGGGGGAAAATTTGGCCATTGAATTTACTAAGATGGAGGCGTCTGGTGGCCTTGGGCAACAGTAGATTGAGCATGAGTGACCAAAGCCCAGGAGGCAAAAAAGGGAAAAATAAGTCAGACATGGTGGCTCACACCTGTGATCTCAGCACTTGGGATGCGAAGGCAAGATTACTACAAGTTCAAGGCCAGCCTGAGCTAGAGTGAGTTCCTTGACAGCTTGGTCTACAGAGTAAGACCCATAGAGAGCTTGGAATCATTGTGCTCACAGACAAGCACTAGGGAAACCAGGAATGTTAAGCTCTGGGACTTGTCTCTCCAACATAATGGATGTGAATACCTGTTTCCCACACAGAAGGCTGGGATCAAATACACTTAATAACCAGGTGACCTTGGCTGTCTGTAGGGCCAGGCCTCACCCAAATCCCCTGGAACATTTATCCCAGACTCTCCCTCCCTACACCTTTATCTTGAGCCCTGTTTCTCAGTCAGCAGAACCCATCCTTAGTGGAGATGTCCCATGTACTTCATAGCCTGCTGACCTCTGTGCTAGGTGGCTCAGAGACCACCCTGTATCCTGGGCGCTTCAGCCATAGGACCATCTTCATGATAGGGGTCACACGTACTTTGCAAAAGAGTTTAGTGTAGTCATGCCTTGAGCTTTATTGTGTACATGGGATTGAGATCATTGTTACCAGGAATTTTTTTTCCAAAATTGTGCCATACTTAAATGCGTCTAAAGTAAGCTGAGCTGGTGTCAGACTCTAGAAGTTTGAATTAGCACCAGCTCCATCGTGCTGAACAGAATTAATTCCTTTGTGCCTCTGAGGTTCATCTCTCTGCCGGCTGTAGAGCTCGCAGGGAACCCTACAAAGACCTTTCCTCAACAACAACAAGAACAACACAAACAGTTGGGAGTGGTGATGCAGGCCTTAATCCCACATTCGGGAGGCAGAAGCATCTGTGGGTTCAGGGCTAGCCTGGTCTACAGAGAGAGTTCCAGGACTACATACACAGATACTGTCTCCAAAGAGACAGAGAAGGAGGGAGGGAGGGAGAAAGGAGCAAAGAAAAAGAAAGGAGGGAAGGAAGGAAAGAAGAGAGGAAGGAAGGAAGGAAGGAAGGAAGGAAGGAAGGAAGGAAGGAAGGAAGGAAGGGAGGCAGGAAGGAGGGGAGGGAGGAAGGGGAAGGAGGGGAGGGAGGGAAGGAAGGAAGGAAGGACGGGGAGGGAGGGAGGGAGGAAGAAAGGAGTTTGGATTTCTAAAACCCACAGGAAAGCCAGGTGGACACTGTAGCCCATCTATAGCCCCATCACTCTGGAAGCACAGAGGGGTCCCTGAGCCAGGCTGGGTCAATGAAAGACAAATATCCTGCTTCAATAAATATTTATTTATTATGTATACAGTGTTCTGCAAGCATGTATCCCTGTAAGCAAGAAGGGGGCACCGGATCTCATTAGAGATGGTGGCTCACCACCATGTGGTTGCTGGGAATTGAACTCAGGACCCCTGGAAGAGCAGTCAGTGCTCCTAACTGCTGAGCCATCTCTCCAGCCCTGCCTCAATAACATAAAATGGAGAACAATGGAGGAAGATATGGGACTCACACCCACTCCTAAAGACAGACAGACAGACACACACACACACAGAGACACACACACACAGACACACACACATACTCTGAAAGAAGAAAACAAAAAGGTAAACTAGGAATAGGCTAGCTTCAGAAACTTCTTCACTTAACCTTTGGTGACAATTACAAGTACTTATCACACCTGTTGTCGTGAGACAGGATCTCACCAAGTTGCCCAAGCTAGCCTGGAACTTGCTGTTGCACAGACTGGCTTTGAATTTATGAGTCTCCTGCCTCAAACTCCCAAGAGCTGGAATTACAGGCTTGTGCCACTGTGCCTGCCTCCAGAGGAAAATAATTAGAAACAAACATACTTTGGGGAGAACAAAAGCAAAACACATCGATTACCGAATTTTCAGGCAGATCAACAAGCTACCTCAAATCATGGACATCTGACTGTGAGAGCCCTCAGCTGAATGTGACATGCCACCAGGCCGAGAAGGGGCAGTTGCAAAGGGACACAGGCAACAGCTGAGTCACCTGGTGGGCACCTACCTGTGGTCAGCACTGGGTCTCTGCCTCCCGGTCCAGAGTCTTCTATTCACAGAAGTGGGAGGGGGAGAGGAGGGCAGCGGTGGGGGAGGGGGAGGAGAAGGGGGAGGCAAAGAGGGCAGGGGAGGCAGGGTTCTCTTCTCTTTTCTGAAGTTCATGCCCAGGCTCGCGTCCTTGTCCCCTTCTCCAGCATGTTTGAACGTTCTGCGGGGCTTGGGAAGGGGGTTGATGAAAGGCTTTGGGGGGCACCGCCTGGAGCCCCTGTACACACTCTCCTGGCCTTTCCAATCCTCTGAAACCTCAGGGCCTGGCTCGTTGCCCTCCAAGTGGTGGGCCCTCCGGCCAGCTGCTAAGGCACCCCCATTTCCATGGCTCTCGGGGGTGGGTTGGTCCTCCTCTGTTTTGTCAGGCAGACAGTGGGGGGAATAACAAGTCCCAGGCAGTTGGGGATCCAAGCCAGCAGAGCCATCCTTCAAGGCCTTCTCCAGTCTCTTGACCTGTTTCAGCACGGAGAGATGGTCACTCTGAAAGCGTAGGTCACTGGGTTTCAGCTCGAGACCTCGGTGCTGGCTGGACTCTGGCTGTCCATTGCTCTGCTGTGGGACTGGCCACCGACCCGTGTCCTGACACACGGATCTTGCTGTCTTTCTGCTGTCATTTCCCAAGCTCTCTGTTTCAAGCCTCATTCCGTTCTTAGTTCTGGTGACCTCGCCGCCTCTCGTCTCTACCCCGCAGGGTGGCAAGTAGTTCTCTTGGCCATCTGTTTGCCTGGCAGGCTCAGGAGCAGGTGGCTCCTTTTTGCCTTCCCACTTGGATATCTTGTCCTTTATGCTGAGGGGCTGGGGCTGGGCTCGGACTCGGGCAGATAGCCCAGTGTTCTGGACACTGCCAAGCTGCTTCTTCGAGGGCCTGCTGGCCTCTTTAGCACCGAGGTCTGCAGCTGGGCCACTGATGAGCATGTTGGAGGCCAGCATGTCCACTCTTGCCTCCAGCATGAGGTTATGGGGGCTCCTTGGGGGACTCTTTCCCAAGGGCAGTTTTGGATTAGTCTCTGGAAAAGAAACGGACCTTCCAAGTGGCTGCCTCCTAGGAGCCTGCCCAACCCTTGGACCCTCTGCCTTGACCCTGTACCCGAGACAAATACCAGGTGAGGGGTCCTTCTGTCACTGTCTAACCACATCAATTTTATCGCTTTTAATCTTTAAGTGTATGGGTGTCTGTCTGCATGCATGTCTGTTAACCGTGTGTACCTGGTGCTCATGGAGGTCAGAAGAGGGCATCAGGTTTCCTGTAACTGTCATTATATATGGTCATGACCAGTACTGGGAACTGAACCCAGGTCCTTTCTAAGAGGAACCAATACTCTTAACTGATGAACCATCTCTCCAGCCTCTGAAGATATTCTTTTTTTAAAGATTTATTTTATTTTTATAACTATGTGTTTTTTTTTGTTGTTTTTTTTTTTCCCCGAGACAGGGTTTCTTTGTGTAGCTTTGGAGCCTATCCTGGCACTCTCTCTGTAGACCAGGCTGGCCTCAAACTCACAGAGATCCATCTGCCTCTGCCTCCCGAATGCTGGGATTAAAAGCGTGCACCACCAAGGCCTTTATATGCTTTTTGAGACAGGTTTCTCACTGGCCTAGAACACTGACTAGGCTGGACTGGCTGGTCAGTGAGCCTTTGGGGTTCACCTCTATTTCTATCCCCAGGGCTGGGGTCATAAACTGCCATGCCCAGCTTTTTACACTGGTTCTCACGGTCTTAGGCTGGCACAGCAGTTCTTTACTGACCAGGCTGGCCTCAACCTCAGAGGTCCACCCGGGAGTGCTGGGGTTAAAGGCGTGTGCCACCAATGTCGGGCCAAATCCTTAAATTTTTGCTAACCCTGGGCCTAACAAACTGCCCTGAATTGAGGTTTGAAGCCGTGATGACTTGTGCTCTCTGGACACAAACCCACTGAAATGGCTCTCTGTAACAAAGGGGTTGTTTTGTCTACAGCTGCTCCCCAGCTTCTAGAATAACCCTGGCAGAGCAGGAAGCAGGAAGTACCTGCTGCCTGAGTGAATGTGTGAATCACATAGAGATCTAGATTTTATACATGGCCTAGAAATGCACTGTCCAATACAGTCTCCAGCAGCCATATGGGGTTATGGGAACCTAATCCAATGGAATGGAAGCCTCCATCCCTCAGCTGCCCCAGCTGCCAGCTAAGCACCCATAAACCAACCCACGCGGCAGACGGCTCCTCAGTGGATAGAAGGGTTCCTATGATTGTAGATAGCTCTATCTAGAACATGCATGTGGAACTACATGATTTTAGGAGGTTACTACCATAAACTCTTTAGGAAGAAAACACGTGAAGCACACTGAATGAGAACGAGAGACTATATGTGTTGTAAAATAGATTACATTGGGCACGGTGATTAGGTGGGCGGGCTCAGTAAACAGGCATGAAGCTAGCGGGGCACGCTTTCTGAATTTATATAAATCTGGGTGTGTAGCGACTGAGAAACTCCAGCTGAGGTTCACAGTGAGGGATAAAAGTCAGCAGATGCCTTCATCCAGTTACTATAACTTCCAATTCCAGAGACTGGGAGTTGTTTATAGAAAGACCTCTCCCTTAGTTACGTCATTTGCTCACAAATTATGCTGCTGTAAAAATTTTAAACTTGTGAGAACACAAACACACTTTCCATGGCTATCAAAGCAGAATTGCTTTTCCACAACAATCAGGGTTCATAAGATTGCTTACAATGGAAAAAAATAGCATTTATTTTTAATTTATGCATGAGTGTTTGCCTGCATATATGTATGTGTACTACATGTATGCCTGGTGTCCACAGAGGCCAGAAGAGGGTGCTGCGAGCTGAACCCAAGTCTTCTACAAGAGACTTAAGAGCACTTAACCTCTGAGCTACCTCTCTATCCCTGAAAACAAAAAAATGTTTTAACTGTCCTCAAGACAGTAGCATGAATTTAAATTTTAGGAAGAACCATAGTCCGTTGCTATTTACCTGGGAACTGAAAAGACAGAACTTACAGTTTCTCCTCTCATGGCAAGATGGAAGTAGAAGACAGATGTGTGAAAATGTGAACTTCCTGATCAGTGTATGCTGCTGCTAACTGACGGCAGTGTAAATCACCCAGTCATGTATGCTACTAGGCAACGTTGGACAGTAAAGTAATTGCATGGTCTTTGGAGTCAGAAGGATTTAGGCCTGAGTCCGAACTACTTGGTTTTTCTCACTGTAGAGACTGAACCCAGGGATTTGAGCATGCTGGGTAGGCTCTACTTTCTATATATTTTTTTCTTCTAAAAGAAGGAATACTATCTCCCTTCTTTAGACTGGAGCTTTCTGAGTATAGAAGCCAAAATTGGCTTTGTTTATTGTTCCTGGAATATGGTAGGTTGTCAATACATAATGCATTTAATAAATGAATATATAATGATGGAAACTGTGACCATCACAGCAGTCATTTAAGATCCCAAAGACCTGGAATGACTGAACAGTACCTGAGGAAGATAGACTGGCTTTTTGGAAGAACAGGCTGTACTTCCTGAGGTCAAGCAAGAGGGGGTGAAAGACCATGACACATTTTAATTGTCTCCACAACAGCCAAAATGGAAGGCACAAGAGAGATTCGTAATGCTCACTTGTCAATATCCAGACCCGTTCAACCACTTTTGTCTCAAGTCTCAAAGGAAGGCAGTTCAAGGAGACTGCTCAGGAAAGTGGCAGCCCTTAGTTAAGGGAGGAGGTGAGAGACTATTCCTACATTCCTACATTCTTAGGGAGAAAGGAAGGGGCCTGAGAAGTTTGCTCATCCCCTGCACGTTTGGGGTGCACGCAAAGGGAGGCTCTTACCTGTGAGCCAATCTGTAGCTCAGAGTTCCAGTCTGGCTGTGGCTGCCTGTGGCCTGCCTGCACAGTGTCACCATGTCAGCATCGAGAGAGGCTCCAGGTGGCCTAAAGGAACAGGGTTACATACTCAGCAAGTCACATGGGCTACTTCCTTCAGAAGGGAGGAGGTATCTGGTCCCCATTCCACTCTGTTTATCTCTAGGAGATCCTGCCCACAATTGGAGATGGCAAGACGACACCATGGGGACACCCTGCCCCAGGGGGACGATGCCACATGATCTCCTCAGGCTTCCAAGATTTCTACCCTTTCTTCGAGTCTAACAAACCCGCCAGGCAACAGTGTGGGTGTTCTATGTCTTGGCTCAGAACTTCCCCCCAAGAAATCAAAGGGCTAAGACATTAGGTACTGGGAAGGAAAGGCCAGAGACAGAAATAACTGAGGTGGATTGAATGAGAATGACCCCCATAGGCTCAGATATTTGCATGTTTAGTTCCCAGTTGGTGAACTGTTTGGAAGGATTAGGAGGAGTGTGCTGCTGGGAGTAGGCTTTAAGGTTAGCCCAAAAGCCCAAACCAGGCTCAAGAGTCTCTCCCTCGGACTGCTGTCTGGGGATGCCTGGGGTTGCGGATGTAAAGTTCTCAGCTACTGTTCTTGCATCATCCATGCCCTCACACTCCGCGCCACCATAACTGTGGACTAAACCTCTGAAACTGTAAGCAAGCCCCTCATTAAATGCTTTCCTTTAGAAGAGTTGGTCATAGCCAGGGGGTGGTGGCGCACGCCTTTAATTCCAGTACTTGAGAGGCAGAGGCAGGAGGATCTCTGTGAGTCTACATAGTGAGTTCCAGGACAACTAGGGCAATACAGCAAAACCCTGTGTTATAGCAATAGAACAGCAACTAAGACAATAAATAAATACATAAATTTAATTAATTAAAACATAAAAAAATGTGTGAAATATAGTACCCATGGGCTGCACATTCTAAAGAGGAAGACCTTCAGGGTCAGGTGACAAGGCTCCCAGGTAAAGGTGCTTGCCACCAAACCTGAATTAAATTTCCAGAACCCACATCTAGAAGGAAGAACCAACCCCTACCAGTTGTCCTTTGACCTCTGCATGCACATACATGCACATACAAATAAGCTGATGTATAAAAAATTCTTTTTTAAGAGTACGAAGGCAGGGAGGGGCCCATGAGCTGAACAATGCCTGAGACAGACGAAGCCCCCAAACTTGGTGTGTTTGGGAAGGGCTGGAGCATTGGCTACCCAGGAGCCTCTGGCTATTACTTTACAGCAACCCAGCAACATACATTTTGGAATAAATCTGTGGTGTAAGTGAGCCCAGTTCTCCAGTAACTCCAGGCGCTTGGGCCCACCCATCCCATGGTGGAGGGGAGCCCTAAAAGGCCTTTTGGGGACAGGAAGGAACTCATTGTCCCTCTCACAACACTCACACAGCCGAAGCATTTGGAGCCTCTCCATGTGGCTGGGCCCACAGACACTGCCTTTCTGTCCTTTTCTGGCAGATAGCCACATGGGGGAGGGGAGAGAAGCCGATCTTCACCCTGTCATCCCCCTCTCTACAGACCAAATTCCCCTCTGTGCAACCTTCTTCCAAGTGAGCCAGGCAGCTCTCCTTCTTCTTTTTCTTCTAGACTCGTGCCAAGCTGGGGGGACTCGGAGTTGAGTAAGGCTCGGTCCCCTTCCTTGAGGAGCACACCAGGACAGTGCTTGGTTAGTCCCTGGCTAGCCCCTGCAGTAGCTCTCTTCTCAAAGGAGCACTTTCCCCATTGCCTGAGAAAGCAGAGCCACTAACACCCTTCTAGGGGATGCTCAAACACACACTAAGTGAACTCACTTTCCATCAGGCGATAACTGGAAGTGATGAGGCACAGAAGACACTCACATTTAGCAACACCCATTGGGTTGCCTCAATTCACAGGAGTATGGAATATATTGCTCTCATTTGTTTTTCTGTTCGTTTTGTTTTGCTTTTGCCCCTGATGATTAAAATAGGCTGGCTAGATGTATCAGTGGGTAAAGGTACTTGCTGCCAAGCCTAGCAATTTTAGTTCAATCACCAGAACCCACATGGTAAAAGAAAAGTGACTCACACAGTCTGTCCTCTGACCTCTACAGTCATGCTGTGACACACGTGCCATAAACACACACAGACAGACAGACAGACAGACACACACACACACACAGACACACTCACACAGACACACACAGAGATACACACAGATATACACAGGCACACATACAGATGCGCACACACACACACACACACACACACACACACACACACACACACACAATAAAAAAAAAAAAAAATTAAATCCAGGCTGCAGAGATGGCTCGGTGGTTGAAAGCACTTACCCTTCCTCCAGTGAGTGAGTGCAGGTCCAAACAGTCATGCCAGGAGGCTCACAACCACCTACTTTAACTTCAGCTCTGTGGGGTCAGACACACCCTCTGGCCTCCACTGTCACCCGTACACACATGGCATATACTCACACATACACAGAAAAAATAAAAACAATCCACCCCCCCCCACACACACACACATACACAACACAGGGTTTCTTTGTGTAGCCCTGGCTGTCCTGGAACTCACTCTGGAGACCAGGCTGGCCTTAAACTCGAGATCTGCCTGCCTCTGCCTCCCGAGTGCTGGGATTAAAGGCATGAGCCACCAATGCCTGGTCTCATAAAGATCAATCTTAAAAGAGTAAAATAATTAATAAAAGACAAGTCTAGCCTTATTTGGGAGTACTTTGTACACATAAGCTTTACTGTTACTTTACAGGTCTGTGAGACTGACTGTTTCCCAAATTGAGGTGTACTGGAAGCATCTTCCAGTGAACCTGGGGACATCTCTGACACACCAAAACCATCTGTCTGTGGGCTGGTTCACAACCTAATACGATAAATAATAGTATTTAGATGATTTTCACACAATTGAGGACTCACTTCCCCTTGGGCAATTTGGCCTTGTGATTCAGACTGATGACCAAGAGGTCTAATGAAAGAATATTAATACCACATTTCCTTACCCAAATGTCTTCTATAAAAGCAGGGCTTCCTATTAACCAGATGGGCTTAATTATTACTATTTTTGTTTTTTGAAACAGGGTGTGTGTGTGTTTGTGTGTGTGTGCGCGCAAATGCAGCTGATTTAGAAATTATGGCCTCAGACTGGGATTACATGAGTGTACCACCATCTTCAGCTATTAAAAATTTTAATAGCCCTAAAATGGTCTATAAAAATTTGAAGCAAGAAGGTAGATACATGAGAGTTCATATAGTATTTTAAAGATTCTATTTACTTTTCTATGTTTGGGTGCTTTGCCTGCTTGTATGTCTGTACCCTGTGCCTGCTTGGAGCCTGCAGAGGGAGCTGGATGGAAACACAGCAGCAGCTTTCCAAACTGCTGCACAGTGCTGGGAACCTCACTGTGTCCTCCACAAGGGCAAGAGTTCTGAGTTGCCACCTCTCAAGCCCAGTGTTGCATTTTTGTGTTGTTGTCTTAATTTTTTTCCACTGTTGTATTTTGAAAGCATTATTTTTTTTAAATTCCTTTAAGCACACCCACTAAAGCTTACAGTCCAGTTAAAACTCCCCATATCCCAGTTTTCTATTTGTAAGGAGCCTGGACAAAAAAAAAAAAAAAAAAAAAAAAAAAAAACCAGCCATTAATTATAAAACAATATCTCTGGCAAAGGCTCAAAAATTAAAATGGAAAGTGTTTGATCTCAAGTAGGAAGGAGGAGCCCCAGCCCTACCTCCAGAAGAGGAGAGTCTTTTAGGGCTGTCGTACTGTTCTAGTAGTTCACCCCAGCCTATCTTTCTGCCTCTCTCTGCCTCTCTTTTCTCCTCAGTGACCAGGGAAGCAGATCCACTTGGGCATTAATTATTCATTTATGACTTAAATAAGTTGCCTCTGAATCTCATCATCCAGCATATTCTTTTTTTTTAAGATTTATTTTATTTTTACGTGTGTGTTTATGTGTGTGTTTTTGTGTATATGTGTGTATGTGTGTGTCTCTGTGTGTATATATGTGTGTATGTATACGTGTATGTCTCTGTGTGTGTCTCTGTATATATATGTGTGTGTGTTATGTGTGTATACGTGTGTATATGTGTGTGTATGCGTGTTTGCGAGCACGCCCGTGCATGCACATGTGAGTGTCAGTGTCTACGGAGGCTGGAGGCATCCGATTTCCAGAAGTTGGATTTACAGGTGGCTGTGAGATGTCTCACCTGGAGCTGGAGCAATGGCTCAGCAGAAGAACCCTGGCTGCTCTTCCAGAGGACCCAGTTTCCATTCCCAGCACCCACAAGATGGTTATGACCACCTGTAACTGTGAACTATAACCTCTTAATAAAGCTTATTTTGAGGCAAAGCAAGCCTTTTCTGTTTAAACGCTTGTTCTCTCAGGTACTTGCTACAGTAATGGAGGGTCACAGTTCCCCACACTGGCTCCTTTCAGGGTAGGACTATAATCTGAGCCACATCAAGACTGCCCGTGGCTATGAATGCTCACTCATTGACAACATTCCTTTTTAGCCATCTCATGGATTAACTGACACCTATTGGTCTGACACATGATAAAGCCCCTAGGAGCTAAGGCTAGCTCAGCCTGAGAATGCAAACCGGACCGCACTTGTGCTGACGAAGCCACAGGCAGGCCAAGATGTCACTTTCTCTCTTTCCTAAATGCAGGTAGGGTTTTCTCACAGAACTTGCTTAAATGGAGATGTATTTGGCCACCTTAGGAACATGGAAAGGCATTTTTCTCTTGATGATATCTGGAAGTCATGTTTCATTTTCCCCTTTCACTGGCAATGTGGAAATGCTCCCACGTTGCCTTCAGGCTCACCATTCCACGGGTGTTACTTCCACGGGCTCCCTGCACAGGAACACTAAGTTACAGTGTGCGGAAGGTTTATGTATCAGTTCCCCTCAAGGCCCCTAACTTCTAGTCTTGGCTCTGATGAAGTCAGTGTGTGTTTGTCATAATAATTAAAGCAGAAGCTACAGAACTGGACATTGGTGGCACACCTGATAATTCCAGAATTTTCGAAGTGGAGGTAGGA